CCTCCTTGTCCCAAACATCTCTGCACCCTCTTCTGTCATCACAGCCCCGTGCTGCATCTGCCTCCCCCTTCCTAACATGCTCCAGGACAGCCACTCTGCATAAGCAAGAGCCCTACAAAACAAAGCTGGATTGAATTAGGGACCTTCTGAACGGTCTCTGCAGCAGCCAAAGCCTCCGAGATCAGGAGATGGAAGGAATGACGGGATGGGAGGCTTTGAGAATGCAGAGCCCTTCGTCTCTGGAGAGCAGCAGCACACGAGTTACACTGGGCATGCTGTGGCTGATTCACAGAAGGGGGAAAAGTTTGTGCCCTGTTGTCTGAAGCAGAGCAATCATGAACTTGAGCATCACAAGAGGCCCTTTCCAAGCTGTTCGGGCCACCAAAGCAAGTTATGCCCTCTCCAGCCCTTCCAGGAAGATGCTTGCCCTTTTTTTTTTTTTTTTCCCCTCCCTCCTTCCCTGATGCAGGTGCACATGGGCATCACCAGCGCCTTGCCTCTCCCAGCGCCGGCAGCGAAGGGGTGCTGCTGCTCCGTGCACCCCCTCACTCTCCCCCACGCCACGTGCTCTCAGCTCCCGTGCAGCAAGTGGGGGCTGTGCTGCTGCTCGCCCCCCACTGTGCCCGGCTCTGACGTGGCTCTCCCACTCCCAGCCAGGCCCACGGGATTGAGCGGATGCTGCCGTGGGCTGGTGGGACAGCCCAGCAGGAAAGGATGGGGCTGCTCTTCTTGTCCATGGGGGGAAAAGATGCTTCCCCTTGGACCTGTGAGACACCAAAACCCTACGTCCCACGGTGCTCCGCAACAACCCACCTCCTCTTGAGTTGCTCTGAATTCATCTCACCCAGTTGAAGGCAGCTACAAGCTGCACAAATAAACCCTGCAAACCTACTTGTTGGGCTATTTTATCTTCAGAAACCCCATTCTCCCCTGATGAGGTTGGGTAAGGGAGCAAGGCTTTATATACCAAGGACAACTCCCTACCTCAAGGGAGCCCAGGGGTGACAAATGCAGGCCACCGCCGCCTGCCTGGCAGCATCTCTGCAGTGCCATAGCAACAGCTGAGAAGTAGGGAGGCCCAGATGGCAAACTCCTCCGTCCGTCCTTCCCCACGCGCCATGCCGGTGCACGCAGGCGCTGCCCACGCTGCCAGAAGGGGTAACTCCCCGGCATGCGGTGCCCACCATCAGCCCGACACACGGCGGCTCAGGAGAGCCCAGCCACCCCATGCACTGGCCAGACCCCCCTGTGCAATGCCATGGATGGGGACCCAAAGTGGCAAACGCCCCGGCTGCTCGGTACAGGAGGGCAGAAGAGATTTTGTGCCACAGGGCCCCCAGGACTGAAGTTCTCCCTGTGCATCTGGTCTTTTCAGGGAGGTCTTGCAAAGGATGGAGCCCCATGCTGCAGGGGTGAGGCTGGGTTAGGGAAAGCTTGAGCATCTCCACAAGTCACACCTGGCTGGGAACACAGCAAAGGCCACCCAGCTGCACAAGGAAAAGCAATGGCATGAACATACCCCAGCCCCGTGGTCATCCTCTCCCCGAATCAGGAGCGGGAAGTCCAGCAGCACGACTTCAAACTGGAGTCATCTCAGCTGGGGTCCAAGCCAGCCCCTCAGCGAGACAGGACCCTTGGCAGCTCTCGCAGGGATCTCTGTGTGAAGAGCCACATCCCCATGGATGCGATCCGAAATTGGATGAATTTCTGGGCAGGCTGGGAAAGGGCAGAGGGACAGCAGGCAACCCAACCTCCTCCTCCATCTCAGGGCAAGAACCTCCTGCCCTCTCCCTGCTTCACCATTAACCTGGCACTGCCTGGATTTGCATGAAGGTTCTGTGCCACCGTCCCCCACTGCAGCTGGGGCAGGAGCCACCCAGCCCTGACTGCGGCTGCTCTGCTCTCCCTGAAAAGAAGGGGGATGGATGGGAAACCAGAAGCAGCAGCAAATGGAGCAACAGCCATTCATTTGAGGGGTGCAACAGAAGGCTCGACAATGGGGTACCACACTGCAGGCACCCACAGGGCTGGCCCACCCTGCCAGCCTCCATGGGCAGCACTACAGGCTGGGTATCTCCTGTCCTCCTTCTGTCGTCCTTGCCTCAGGGGTCTCATCAGCCACTGAGATGTGAAATAACACAAAGCTCCTGATGGCTTGGCCCCCGATGCTGGGGCAACCTGCCTGGGTGGGGTGGCATGGAGGGGCCACTGCCCTGGCTCGGGTGGGGGTAAGATGGACAAGCCCACCAAGCCAGCTCACACAGCTTGCTTTCTCCAGCTCTCCAAATGGGCCCTGGCAGCCTTTTGTCAGCACCACCCAAGCTCAGATTGCCAAGCTGAGCTTGTCTTTCAGACATGAATAAGGCCTCGCTTGGCCCCAGGGTGGTTTCACTGCCCCATATCCCATCACCTTTTCATCAGCAGCAGGATGAAGCAGAGACCACCACCTCCCTCAGGGCCTGCAGGGAGGACCTGGCTGGAGCATTGTATCCCCTGGCCACAGGGACAGGGCTAAGCCTCCCCCTTTCACCCCCCAGCCCAGTGGGCAAAGGTGCCTTTGCCCACTCGTTGCCCACTAACAAGGCAAGCTGCCTGAAGCAGGCAAGCCTCCAGAGAGCATGGCAAGCAGGGGGAAGCGCTGTTCGGTGCCCAGCTGAATCAGACCCACGTGCCGGGAGTGATTCAGCGATGACCAGGCTGGGCTTCAACGCACCCCTCGCCCCGGCACCAAGATGGGGAGGCTGGCAAGGAGAGGCCTTGCGTCAAGCCAGGAGGGTGCAGGACCCAATGCATCCCACACAAGAGCACGAACACAAATTCAACCCTGGCTCCCACCAGTGACTCCTTTGCTAGGAAGCAGCCCCACCACCCAAACCATCCCTCTGCTCCCATAAGCATCCTCTACGAACCACTGCCACCTCCCTGGAAAGCACAGACCACTGGGGAAAGTTTTCACTCATACTCAGTCTCAGCCCCTCACAGCATTTTGGGGTTCACCCCAGTCCTCTGCCTTGGCTCCCAAGCCCAGGGAGGGAGGTGTGGGACCGACAGCCGTGCAGGGGGCAAGGGAACATGCTTTGCTCAGTGTGGAGCAGAGATGCATGCAACATCCAGCAAAAACTGGCACCATCTCCTCCTCCTTCCCCAACTTAACAGAAGCTCCTCTCCAAAAAAATACCCAAAATCTCCATTTCTGGAGTTGAATCTGCCCCACCCCCGCCCCGCCCCTTGTTACAAACTGCTTATCAGCATTTTTCAGTTTCAAAGCAGTAAAGACATTTTCTGGCCACAAAGGACTCACGTAATACTACCTTTTGCAGCAGTTCAGATGTATGTGTGCATCTGACAATGCACACTCGCTCACACCAGTGGCTTCCAAACCCTTTGCAGCCTTTCCTGCTGCTCCCCGCCCCTCAAAGGGTTAAAACCAAACCACAACAAACAGCAAGCATAGCAAAAAACACCACGAGTTTCTCTGACTTCCCCAGCATCACCCACATCCCTCCAGCATCGCAGAGAAAACACTCCAGCACCACGACGCAGGATAAATATGGGGCAATTGGAAGGGGAGCATTGCATTAGCAGCCCTTTACTTTGCCCATTCCTGCTGGGTTTGCTGGCAAGGCGAAGGCAGGGCTGGGGGTTCAGGGTCAGTGGTACCTGCTGAAAACCTGCTGGAGCATCGCACGAACCTGTAAGCAAGCGGGGAAAGCGGCTCCCGTCATCTTTACCCAGCAAAGGTGACAAGCAGAGCTGCGAAAGAGGCACTGCAATTACTCCATGGTTCTGCTGCAATTGCACTGTGACCAAATAAAACAGCCTCAGGAAGAGACCCAGCAAAGCCCTCTCCCTCCATGCAACCGTGCCATCGAGGTGAAAATAAATAAATAAATAACCCTCCATTACTCATTTCAAACCTTGCTGCATTTAACTGCCAGAATAAAGGATTCCACCTCTTCTCTGCTCAACTCCCACTGGCAACTTGCTCTGGGGGCTACATTTCCCTAAATGCTCACATTTCAATTAGCATTAGAATAATGAAATAGCTCAGAGTTCATCTCACCCAAAAATGTACTGGAAAATAAAGACCAGAGATTGGAAGAGATGAGGATTTTTTTTCCCCCGCACACACACACAGCATGATGGATTCAGGAGAAGGAAATATATTCCTTTCTCGACTCCACGCTGATGAGATTAACATGGGCTTTGCTAACTGCCTCTCCAAACAAGGATAATGCAACTTCAAGTTGATTTTCCAGATAAACAAGCATGCAAACAAACGCAAAGTGCTCAACTAAAAATATCTCCCTGCTCCGATGCTTCTCCCCACCGCCACCACCCCGAGAGGAAAACACACAAATCCTATCGCAGCACCACAGCGAGTTGCAAAATTATAACAATGCGAGTTAAATAAGCTACTTAAGGGACATCTCACTGTCCTATTTTTTTTTCCCCCCACTCCTTAAAAAGGCGAAACCGCAGATCCCCAGATACACTCAGCCAGGGCAGGGAAGGGAGCATTTTCTGTTGTGGGGATGAAAAAAAATGACATTCTAATCGGATCCAAAGTCTCGAAAAAGAACAAGCGGCTCAGAACTTGCTTTTCTTGCCCAATTTGGGTATATATGAGGCTGTGTGTGGCTGTGGCGCGTCCCCCCTCCCCTTGCAGAAGCAAACAGTTAAAGCAAGCAGCAGCTTTAGCATCTTTGCCTGCTGCTCTCTCTCCTGCGAAGGAATCAGATCTCATTTACTTTATTCCTCTTAAGCCTTGACCAAACTGTTGCTGGGCTTTTTTTTTTCTTTTTCTTTTTTCTGGGGGAGGGAGGGATGGGGTAAGGGGGAAAGCCGGCTCTGCGTCCTCTGCACGGGCAGCAGGCTGAGCTCCGCCAGGCAGCGCAGCAATGCCGAGGGCACCTGAGCCCCGCACCGCCAGCCCAGCCCGCACCCTGCCGCCGGGAGGGGACGGGGCCCCGGGAGAGCCCGCGGGGACCCCCACTTACATGGAAGTGATGTTCCTTGAGATGTCCGTGATATTGATGCTCGTGTTGCCATTGCTGCTGCCTGAATCCTGCCCTTCCAAGAGAGGGAAGAGGTTCCCATCATCCGGCTTCTTGCAATTGATGTCTGTCTTGCTGCAAAGACAATTAGCAGGGCAAGCCAGCACCGAAAGCAGATAGTCTCCCCAAATGCTCCAGAGCAAAAATACCCTCCAGAAAGTGCACTTGGTAGGGCAAAGAGAGACATCCATCTCCGATTGCTGCTTCTAAAAAAGAGGAGGAGGAAAGGGGGGATGGAGGGAGGGGAAGGGGGGGAAAGGGGGAAGGAAACAAAGACAGAGGGAGAAAAAAAAAAAAAAAAAAAAAAAACTACAAGAGCTCTGGTGATATAACTTGCAACAGATTAGAAAATTCTTGCATCCCAGCTGGGAGTGACTGGGAAAGCTAAAGACTACACACTTCAAAAAGCCATTTTATCATCCCGCCCGCCGCCAGCCGCTCCGGAGGATTGCAACGGGAGGCTGGGGAGGCAGCCGGGGAAATAAATAAATAACAAAAACGGTGCGAAAGTCACCAAGTCCCACCTACTGGGCAGAATTAAAATTGACACACCTGCAAAAAAAACACACAGAGGGAGAGGAGGCTGGGGAGAGGAGGGGGCGACCTCCCCTTCCCATCGCTTCCCTCCCCCGGCCTGGCCAGCCCTGCTGCGGCGGGCACAAAAAGCAGGGGAGGAGGAGGAGAAGGAGGAGGAGGAAGGCTTGCAAAGCGAGCCGGGCTCTGCAATAAAAAGGATTCCCCACCCCCCTCCCTCTCCGCTAAAAAATCAATCGAGGGGAGGGGGGAGAGAGGGGAAAAACCCACCCCAGCACTGCCGGAGCCCCAGCTCAGCCCCGCCAGCGGAGGAAAAGTTGCAGCTGGGGTTAAATTTGTGCTGGGGGGAGAGCAGAGGGGCTCTGGCTCGGCTCCGGCTTTCTCAGGCTCTTTCGTCTTTTGGAGGAGGAGGATGCTGCCTTTCGCTTGGTTTGTTGGGTTGGGTGGGTTTCCCCCCGCAATCCGGACAGAAGGGTGGAGAGGAAAGAAAGATTAAACTGAACTGGAAGAGAATAAGCACCACTGTGGATTACAGCAATTTAAATATATTTTTTTTTTCTTTAGAGGATCCTAGCAAGAGGCAGATCAGACGGCTGGGTGGGAAAAAAAGCGACTGGAGAGCACCCAGGAAGGACTTTCTAGAAAAGACATATGCACACCCCCCCTCCAAAACGCAACGGGGACTCAGCCGGCTGCCGAGAAGTGCAGGCAGGAGCACCCAGGGTTGGGACTCCCGTCCTCCCTCCCCTGGCTTCCCCCTTCCCTCCTGCAGCAGATTCTGCAATCAGACATAAAAAAAAAAAAAAATCCTGAAAGAGGAAGACTGTAGCATTGAAAAGGCTGAGCTCAGAGCGCCGAAATGGCATCAGGAGAGCAGTGAGTGCGAGCTGAACAGCAGAGCGAATTAAGATGCATGGTGCATTTTTGGCAAGCACAAACCCAAGCAGATCAGAGCTCTGCTTAATTTGCTCTGCTTTTCTACAGTGCTTTTTTGCATGCCTTTTTTTCCCCCCCAATAGTTTCATGTCTCTGCTCCTCCACACAGAGGCACAGTTATAAACGGACAGTGCTGCAGGCAGGACCATGGGTGAAGGGAGGAAATACAGGTGTAGGACTCCAAATATTTCAAAGGTCTACCTCTGCCAGGCACAGGGCTTTGCACAGAGTGGAGAGACAGAGTGGTCTCCGCACAGGCTGGACCAACACCCCCAGGGTCTGCTTTGCACCCCAAATCATCCTAGTCCATAAGAGGCAACAGGATTTGGGGGTTAAAAAGGGGAAAAAAAGATGCAGCTGCAGGGAGACTTTGCAACCACAATTCATAAATCCAAATCCCTTGGTGGGGAGCGGGCTGCCCACAGCCATGCGCATGGGGAGCCCGTCCCAGCAGGGCACGAGCAGGGCTCCCACTTGGGTCACTCCTCACTCATTGCTCCACAGCCTCATCCCAGGCCCTGGGAACAGCAGTGATGTGCAAGGGGTTGCACGTACCAAGGCATCAGTCCTGGTCCCACAGGGGCTTCTGGGGTGCCAGGCAGCTTCATCAGAGTTCATCCTGCCAGGGCTCACCAGGAGAAGTGGGGGTACTCATCTAGTGAATAAATACCAAGGTGGGAGGGCTGGTTTCTCCCTGAGCCCCACCTGCTTGCAAATTAATGAAGTGAAGCACCTGGATCCAAAGAGGTCACTGAAGTGCCTGGCACTGCAAGGGAGAGGAGCCCACGGAGGGCTGGTGGGCCCCCACCCGCATGAGAAGCAGGTCCCATCCTCAGGCACCTGTACGGAGACCATGGCTGGGAAGGCACCAGAGAGGAAAACAGCCATGCATATTTTTCACTCCCTGCCTCAGTTTCCCCACCCCTGTCAGAGAGATGCCATTCTTGTGGCTCAGCACTGTGACCAGAGTGGAGAAGACACTAATGGAGAGCACCATGGCATATGCCCCCGCCTGTGGGGAACACCAGGCACCCCTCAATGCCCAGCCAGCACGTGGGTCCATCCCTCGGCAGCACAGGGGACAGGGATGTCACACTACAAAACCAATGCCCGGGGTGAGACCAGGGCTTCCTTCATACTGGAGCTGGTGCAAGGTCACAGCCTCCTCGTGGCACTTGACATCAATCACACCATCGTGTGCGAAACCAGCGTGAGACCATCAGCCTACCCCGGTGTGTCACCACAGGGCTGGTCACAGGGTGGGGACACGTTCAGGGGGCACACACCCGCCTTGGGGACCCACTGCAGTTCCACAGTACAGCATGGCTGTCCTCCAGGCAGATCAGCACCAGGACCTGGGGGAAGCCACGGTCACCTGGAGGTGCCAGGGTGGCACTGCTTGGCATGGGGCTGTGTGCATGAGCACTCTGCACCCTCCTCACCCACCCAAGTGGTAGCCTGCCCTGTGTCCCTCCGTGCCCCAGGGTGTGGGGTCAACCTCTGGAGCAGAGCACAACTGCTAACGAAGCACAAACCCACCCAAAGAGGCTTTCGGATCCTCCTCTGCAACCTGAGCCAGTTACGTGCTTTGCACTCTCCTTGCAAAGACGAGGTTTAACCCACAGAAAGTTGGGGAGGTGTCAGGTCAGCTGTCCCGGGTAGGGAGGATGCAGGAGCCCACCCACCCCCACAACACGCACACCCCACTGCCACCCGCTGCCAGGCAGGCCCCGCTTCAGCAGCTGATGAGGAGGTTTTGTGCCAAGCCACGGCTTCCTCTGCTGCTAACAGATAAAGCCGCCGCTCGCAGAGGAAACGTGGCCGGGCAAAGCGGGGGGAATGGGAGGAGCGGGAGCATCCAGCTGGGTGCCCGGAGGGCAGGCGGAAGGTAGGCAGGAAAAGAAAGAAACCAGGGGGCTGTTCATCCTCCCCATTGCAGGCTGCCAGGGGGGACTGGCGAGTTCGCTGGCAGAAGAGACTGCAGCGACAGCAAAGTCCCTGCTGCAGAGAGCAGACGGGCCACCAACCTTCATCCAACACCAGAGCTGGGTGGCCCCTGGTCCTGCTTCCCCCACTTGAACCCACCACCCCTCACCGGTCCATGGACAGATGGAAGATGATGCTCAGCAAGGGCAGTGCTACCTCTTGCACACCCAGACCCAAAAGGGGACGGGAGTATTTAGGAGCTGCCGGTGGTGGGAACAGACCATCCCTGCCTCCATCCCTGCCTCCATCCCTCACTCCTGTCCCTGTGGAAGAGGGAGGCAGGAGCAGGGCATGAGTGATGGGGCTGTCAGAGTGCAGAGATCGTATCTCGAGTAGAGGCCTTGCCGTTATTGCTCTGAGGGATGCTGGCAAATTGCTCTTTCAAGAAGCATCTCCATGAAGGATGAAAGCAGTGCCTCCTGCGAGAACTCTGCCCCACAGGGGCTCAGGGGCTGGGTTCCCTCTGGCCTTTGAGAGCCTCCAGAAATTCCACAGGATGCACTTGGCTGAGACTAAACCCCAGTTCCTCTGCAGAGAGGTCCCCATCTCTCCCATCACAGCTGCCTTCTGCATGCGGACATGAGTTGTGCCTCAACACCCAGCCCAGAAGAAGGAGCGGGGCTGGGAGGTGCCCGGGGGCTCCTGGCCACGGACGGAGGTGAAGGCAGCTGTTTTGTTTGCATTTCTGCTCTTCCCACCTACACAGCTGCCTTTAGCGTCACACTCCCGGGCTGTCTGGCCCTCGGGGACAATCTTTGCCTCCCACTTCCCAGGTAAAGGCTCCCCAATGCACCACTTGCCTCCTGGGACCAGCAAACACCACAGCCACTCGGGCCATGACCAGAAAGAGATCTGTGGTCCAATATCTGCTCAGTCATCATAAGCTCCAACGTCCACTCCTGCCTCTGATCTTCGTATCGATCTGGCAGGCCCGCGCTGAGGCATGCACCGCCCTGCTCCCTATTACCAGAACAGCACTCGCTGCTCACTGAAAATGATGAGCTGACATTTTTCTAGCCCCCCTCTCGTCCAGAAGTATCTGCAAATGTGCCTACAGCAGGACCACTTTGCACACCTCTGAAACGCAGCCAGCCCCGGGGCGGGCAGAGCTGCTGTTTGGCAGCATGCAGTGATGCCGGGCAGCAGCACGGGGTGTGAGATCTGATGGGAGAGGCAGGGAGAAGGGTTTCATCCCCTGTGCTGGGAATTTGGCTGCAGGTTCACATGCCTCTTTGCAGAGAGACCCCAAGAAGTGAAATTTTGGAGAGGGTCCAGCTTGCCAGGTAAATGCCCAGGAGCTGCTGCCAGCTTTTGGGGAGGGGGTCAGGGCTGGTTTGGGGGCAGAGCATTCCCCACAGCATTACTGGCACGGGCTGCAGAAGGAAAATATCAGCCCCTGCAGAGCCAAGAGGCGGTTGCCTCTCGCCTGAGCCATGCAGGCACAGTAGCATCAAAAGTGTTTCTCCTTGAAGCAGAGCTCCTCGTTCCCATCACCCTGGGAAGAGCCTGGAAGCAGCTTTTGATCTGATGTCCGTATTGCTTCTCAAGTGCTTGGCAGGAGGAGCCCCCGTGCAGCAGGGAAGGTCGCATCCTCCACACGGGTCAGCCTGGCCCTGGGAACCTGCAGGGAGAGGGACAGGGGGAGGCGTGTGGGGCAATCACTTTTGGGCAGCGACAACCATGTGATGAAAGGTGAAGGTCTCAGCTGGGGGAGGTGGCTGGAGAGTAGCTGGTGGTAGGAGGCTCCAACCTTGGGTTGTCCTTGCCCATGCTGTGTGCATGTGGGGACAAGGGCAGGATGAAGCCGTCCCAGCAGATGTCCTGTTCATAAACTCTCTGACGCTGTTAAGAAA